TGATTTCATATTTCTAATGTTTTTTGGGGGGAAAATTGAATAGGTAGTGTCCTTGTTAAATTAATGGATGAAAATTTTCAGGTCTATATTTCTTGTAATCAAGCAGTCATCACTATTCAATGACAACTTAAAATAACATAAAGAATCTGGGTTCCAGAGACATAGATAGTTATTAACAGAATAATGGGAATTCAATTTTCCAAACTCTATTTACCTAAGAAAGAATGCATGCTTTTATTATTTTTTTACCTATGTACAACTTTTTTTCCTCTTATAAATTTCATAAAATAAATAAGATAAATATTGTGGAAGGCAAACCATTCTCACCCCATGCTCTCAAGTTGCTGAGGACACAGACAATAGGGTGGAAGTGACAATGGAGAGAAAAAAGGAGGGACATCTGTAATACTCTCAACAATAAAGAAATAATAACTAACCAGGAAAGACTGCTGATGATATCAATGAAGCAGTTCAGTCATTTCTTCAAAAGGAAGTTTTTAGGGAGGCAGTATGGTACACTGGTTAGTCCTATGTGCTCTGGGGTTATACTCCCTCAAAGGAATCTTTGTTTCATAATTTTGGGAAAGTTACTTAACCTCTCTGGGTGTTTCAGGTCCCTGCTCTGTAAATTATAAAAGTAACTACCTCTTGGTTTCTGTGAGAATTATATGACATAAATTTTAAGCACTTAACTACCTGGTATATATGAAGAGCTCAATAAATGCCAGATTTATCAAATTTGGAGGCTGTTATTAAAAGTGAATAGGACTTCTGGTTACGGCAGACAAACTTGTATACAACTATTTCTACTACAGAGACCAAGCAGGAAAGATTAATAACATGGGAAAAGCATCTGTTGAAGGCATCAGGTGCCTATCAAAGAGCAAGGACTAGCCCAGCTGGGCATGGGTCAGCATTTGAGCATCAACCTAGGATCCAGACGATCGCGGTTCAATTCTCAGTCAGGGCATATGCCTGGGTTGTGGGTTCGATCCCTAGTCAGGGGCATGCAGGAGGCAGTCGATCAATTACAACTCTTGCATCATTGATGTTTCTCTCTCTCTCTCTCCCTTCCTCTCTCTGAAATCAATAAAGATATATAAAAAAACAAAACAGACAAAAAAACAAAGAGCAAGGACTTGAAAAGCCACCATTTCAGAGAAAGGAAATTATAAATTGAACCCAACATCACCTTCCCAACAAAACATTTGACAATTCATAAGCCAGGTTTAGAGACTGAGAAGCTGAACAGAACTTCAGGCAGTCTCATGGAGTTGAAGAAAATACAAGAGTTCAGGGCCGCTAAGGCCAAAGGTCCATTGTAAGTACCCAGGCATTAAGTGGAGAGTCCTGAAGGACTAAACTCTAAGAGTTGGGGCTAATCAGAAATAGGCCAGTCTCTACAAGCACTGATGCTCAACTCTGAATGAGCTTAGCACTGCACAGTCTTAATCTGTTCCATCCACTGCCAAACAAAAAATACTAAACCCTCTCTGGAGGAAGAAAACATCATCTACAATTTCACAGTATCTCTTTAGTCTTTTGTAAACAATGCCCAGCATTTGATCAAAAATTACCTAGCAGGCAGGGAGACACGAGTCATGAATAAAAACCTACAGAGAAACAAACAAAAACACATGACAGAAACAGACCCATAAGAAATCTAGATATTAGATTAGTTATTAGCCACAACTTAAAAAAGAACTGTTATTAATATATTTAAGGAAACAGATGACAAGATGGTTAATTTCACGAGGTAAATTTATGCAAAAGAAATAAATGGATTGCCTGAAATTAAAAAGTGCATTAAAGTAAAGAGTTGATTTTTTGAGAGGACATTTTAAAAAGATGATAAGTTTTTTTGGCTTTGGGTTCATTCTAAGTAAACTATAATTTTGAAGTTAACTAAAATAAGCAGCTGTGTAACAACAAAGGTCTATAACTTAAAACAGAATTTCATGTATTTGGTTGAATAATACAGAGCTACAACCCCAGGAGAGAGAGTTATGTAAAGGAATCTGTGCCTCCATTATTTCTCTCACCAGTATGGTCAGGAGCACACTGGGACTTTGATGAAGGGACACTGGATGCTACGAACAAATATCCAACCACTCATTTTAGAAAGCAGGAGTATTTTCCTATCTCAATCCCATTACAAGCAAGATTGTTACAAGAAGTGCAGATGTATTTTCGAATTTATTGGTGATTATCTAGTTTGCACTGTAAAACTTATGTTGGAGAAAGGACAATATATAAAACATGACAGAACTGGAGATCATTGGAATGGTTACTGTGGGTATACCCAGAGTTACTAAGGGAAACAATTAACTACTGGAATAAATCGTTTGAGAGTAATAAAATAAAATTTGTTTCAATAAATTTTTTTTAATGCATTACTAATTTTACTCAACAGTTTAACCATTCTTTATTGGTAGTTTATGCATAAATCAAAATTTTTTACATAAAATATAATAAAATAAAACAAAGCTGGCATTACCAGCCAGAAGTAAATTATTGCAGAAAGAAGTGCAATTACTCCCTATCTATAATTTTGGTTTTGTAAGTTTAACTTGGACAGGAACACAAAATTATACTTTTTGTATCTGTATATTCTCATGATTTTGTTAGCTCTGGAATTTAAATGGGAAGACTTCTGATTTTGTGGGATTAAAATTGTGTAATATATTAGAATCAGATACAAAGATTATTAAATACCAAATATTAACAAATATTTATAGAAAAAGCAAATGAAAGATATACTTGTGAATTGTTACACATAATTGCCTTGGGGAAAAACTGTTGAGGTCTCTTGGGGTCACCAAATTAAGGCCTTTAGTCCTGGATTTGCCCTCAACTAGCTCTGCAACCTCAAGATGTCATTTAACCTTTCTGACTCAGTGCCCTTAGCTACAAAATAAAGCTAATTGTGCACAATCTAATTCCATAATTAATCCAGGCACATTTATTAAACACCTATGTGCCCCTGCCTTTGTGAAGGCTAAGAACATTAAGAATATAGGGTATTGCTAAAGAACTGAAAACTACAATGTATGTGACACATTCTGTCAAAGATCGTACATTATGTGAACAACTAGTTTATACTATCATGATCATAAATATATTTTTCTAAAAGTGCCAAGAACATCTAGCTCTCACTCCAAATGCACAGTACTTTCATTGTGGCAAATTTTACAAACAGAAATTTGCCTCTGCAAAATAAAATGCATGACAACTGAAAGGGGGAAAAAGAGGTAGAACAGGAAATAAGAAACTACTTTCTAACCAGGAGAGAAAAAACAGGGAGTCAGACAGTAATGTAATGATTTATTTAGAACTCTGAGTTCTGAAGGACTGATGTTCAACTGGAAAATAGTCTGAATGTATCAAAAAAGTGTTAACATTGCCTATTAGCTTAATATTCCCTATGCCAAAACAGAAAAACCATAAAATTTTTTGTCTTTGAATAAAATAAACATTTAAAAATACTAAATCCATTGTAAAGAGGGAATAGGAAGTGCCAGGTACCCACTGAGAACAGTGTAAATGAAGATGGCAGTTTTGATAATAAAGACTAGAGAGAGAGACCACAGTAAGAACAAAAACCTTTGTTTTGACAAAGGCTACATACAGTTAGTGAGGTTTAAGACTCTAGACTTACTGACCCTGCATCTTTCCAGAAACTTTACCACTGTTGGTTAAAACTGTTGAAAACTCACATTTCATAACATCGCTCTGCAGTCCCAGCAGCACACCAGATTATAACAAAAACTTGAGTAAGTCCCTTGGAGTGATATTTCCTCAGCTTCCAGGGAGTGAGATAAGAATATGGTGGGTTATGCTATCAAAACAAAGCTCTGGATAAAGAAGCACCAAGACGAACAAACCCTATACTATAATCTATTTATATTATTGCCCCATGCAAATGATTAATTCCACGTGCAAGTATTCTTCCAAGGAGTAGAAACATCTAGCCCAGTTATGAAATTTCCAAAAGTTGGCTTATTTAATTGAAATACGACTATTCTCCACTTTATAGAAAATATAAATTTCATAAGACTTGACCAAAGTGAATCCTTTTAAAATTGTCAACACTCTCTTAATAGCCAGGGATTCCTTTCCTAATGGAAAATAACCTTTAATTGAAAATAGGATATTGAGCCTGTATCATTATAAATACCCATCAATCCATGGGTTAATAATGCCCATGTCAATCCACATTGTCCTAAATTCTCTCCTGTATACTGACTGCCTAAAACACCACATCTGTTGTTCCTGGAACTTTATTCTTACAGTCTTTGTTTTCTTCCCCAAAAGTTTAGGTTGTCTAATAGACCTTAATTACATTGTCAATAAAGTTTTAAACCAAACATGCTATTATTCTAATTTAGACATTCCTTAAATTTAAGGCTACAATTTAGTAAGTTTCCACTGTTTACTTTGTCAATTTGGTAAAATGAAACAAATCATAAGTTTACATTCCTTTGTTCTTTCTGTCACTTAGATCTCTAATTAATCTTCCCTGTCAGCTTACAATAACCATTGGCGAAAGGCGGTTCTGGAACGCTTTCTATATTGGGGTCATTGAGCCATACGTGTTTTCATGTTTACGGATACTTGTGGAGATAGAACAAAAAAAGTGACAGAAATTGACAAGGCAAAAACAAACAAATATATACGAACTATTGTATTCCAAATTGAAAATATTTTTTCTTAGAGTTATTTTATTATATCACTAAAATATAATTATTCAATAATTTTATAAAATTCATGGATCATAATGCCAATGATATAATACAACAAAAAAAGCCAAAGAATTAACAATCAGTGCTATCCAGTAGATTAAAAACATATATATATTTTTTTATTAAGGAAAACAAACCATGAGGTGAGGAAATGATTTGAGGTTCATGACTATACAGTGTCTCTTTCTTGACATTTGAAGGAAAGAATAGATAGAAGTCAAAGTCAAGGGTGAAAGAAATCTTCAATACATTACTTACTTCTTTGTATCCAAAGATGATGCGTCCATCTATGAGAAGGGTTGCCTGGAATGTGAAGCTTCCCAGGTTGTAATTATCCTGGAGATGTACGTGGTCCCACTGGACAACAAGTGCTGTGCCTAGAAACCCCATCAGAACAAAAGAAATACGATGAGATAAACATATCAATCAATTCTGGCGGGAGCCTTCACATAAACATAAATCTAGCCTTCAAACTCAGTAGTTGTGCTACTTAAATTTTATAGGATTCATTGGAATTCTGTTATTGAAATAGCATCTGGCATGTAGTGAGCTTCAGAACATGCTAAAACCAACTAAACAGATCCATTTGGTCCTGGAGCGGATGATGAAATCCAGTTTGATGATATTGGAGATGATGCTGAAGACACTTATGATATCTAAATTGAGTTCAGTTTCTGAGTATTATTCCACAACTTGGATTTTGGCCATTACCTGTAAGACTAAAACTTCAGCATGACTGCAGATTGTTAAGAAATACTGATTTATTTTCATTGTTGAATTATTTAAAATATTCACTGTATCTCTTTAAGTAAAATGTTAACACTTTATTCTTTGACTGTAATGGAACTTAAGGGTAAAAGACCACAATATCTGCTGTTAAAACAANTGACTGTAATGGAACTTAGGGGTAAAAGACCACAATATCTGCTGTTAAAACAATGGCGAGAGTAAGAGGGAAGAATAAAATAAATATTTTCCAGTTTTAAAAAATAGCATTTGGAATATTGTGAAAGAATTGAGTATTCTCTAAATATTTGGGAAAATCCAACCTCATACTGAGGTTAATACTGAGCCCAGTATGAGGGGATTTTGCCTTAGGAAGTCAATTAACGTTAATGGATACTGTCTGCTTAAATTTCCATGAGCCACTTTCAAAACGCAGCCCAAGTGATCTGAATGAATTTCGAATACATTAACAAAATGCTGAGAGAGAGGAACACACTCAGGAAAGCTAGAATCGCTTATAAAAGACCTAAAAATGTCTCTTCCATAGTTAGAATTATACTCTTCCATGATGAAGAACTTCTTTTAACATGAATGGAAATATTCTTCTTTGATTCACAAAGCCTGCATGTCTGTCTTTGTTGTGTTTCAAGGAGGCTGCAAGGTAGCTTAAAGGGCCCCAGGCTGCGATTTCTGAAGCCTCCTTGAAGTACACTGAGAAAAATCTTCAGTGCTATATATCATGTTCTAATTAGTCAATCTACCAGTGTTTACCATAAAACCATTAACATGAGATATAAACTAAAACACGGTTTAATAGCCACAACTGAGAATTCATATATTTGTTTTAACTGACATTGCCGCCCCCTCCTTTTTTTTTTTTAAAGAAAACGAACAGCAAACACTTTTGTTTAGCTCTAAGTATTGGATTTTCTGTTTGGTTAAAAAATCATGTTGCCAAAAAAATGTTATACAGAAAATGACACTCACAGAACTAAAAGAGCAAAACCTGTCTTCCAAGTACGTAAATATCTGATTTAAAAAGAAAAAAAAAAAAATCAGGAGCCCATGACAGACAGCTTCTTTGTATGACAGAGAGCTTCTGGGTTAGTGAGCATGTCTAGGTACTGGGAGAGTGGTGCCCAGAGAGCGCATGGAAGCTCCACACCCCTTCCCACATACCTCACTCAATGCATTTCTTCCATCTGACTGTTCCCTAGTTAACCCCTGGACCAGATGACCATGCAGAACAGAACAGTGTCTTTACTGTGCTTTTGAGCATAACTTAATGCTAAGAGCTATTGACAAAGATGGCAACAGAGGAGGCTCCTGAATTCCCGCCTCCCATGGACACACTAAATGTATAGCTACACACAAAGCAATTTCCTCTAAGAGAAATCCAGAAACCAGCTGAGTGACTGTTATGCATTGGGGGACTGAAAAAATATTGACATTGAAGCTGCACATATCTAAGTGTTGACCATGATCCTCTCTAGAGCCCAAAAGGGCCAGTGGGCACTTCCCCTGCCTCCTCCCTTTGGCTTACTCCAACAATAAAACAAGGTCACTAGCATCTCCCTGGAAGAAGCTTACACACAAGTCTGGCACCCAGTTTTTGTGGCACCACCTGAGGGACAGGTCCCCAGATTGCCCAGTTGTGACAGACAATGGGATTTGCATGCATGAGTTCCACGGGCCTGTAGCAGACAAAGAAGTTTGTCCTTGTGCACTTGCCATGGCTATCCCCCCAGGATTCAGCAGAGAGAGAGCAGGTAAAATGCCCATCTTTTTTTTTCTTTTAAGGGCTGTGACTGCATATTTTATAAGCTACTGTGTGAGGGTCCAGCATCTAATTAGTATTCACCTAGGTGCTGAATGTTATGCAGTCCACATCCAGAAAGAGTTGGTGGACACTTGCTCCACTTTCTCCCACCAGCTCACTCCAGCAATAAAACCAAGTTGCCAATATACATGTAGAGCCCCAAATTTTATGGCTGCCATTGAAGTTTGGGCACCTAAACCACCTTGCTCTGATAGTCAACAGGGCTTGCATTTACAAATTAGAGACTATAGCAAACAAAGAAAAAGTTCCAAAATGGGTGCAATAGCACTCCCATGATTAAATTCCCAGACCCAGTGCAGAGGGAGCAGGCAAAAATGCCTGTCCCCCAGTTTCTCCCTAGATGAGGTTTGGCTGCATACTCCCCTAGCTGCTGCCTGAGGGTCCAGCAACAAACCAGCCTGCACCTAGATGCTGACCACGGTCTTCCCCTTTAGGACACTAATGGGTCTTAGAACAATTACTGAGAACAAAGATGATGTCTTGGACAATCACAAGGGTTTGAAGACAAGTAGGAGCTTCTGCCTGGCTGATTGATGACATTTATCTCCTATACAAGACCACTCTGACAAGACTGGAAGTGGTGGCTTTTTAAAAAAAAAATTGTATTTATTGTTGAAAATATTACAAATGTTCCTCTTTTTCCCCCATTGATCCCATTCATCCTGTACTCCTCTCCAGGCCTTCACCACACTATTGTCTGTGTCCATGGGCTATGCATATATGCACATAAGTTCTTAGGTTAATGTCTCCCTACCCACCCACCTACCCCTGCCTTCCCTCTGAGATTCATTATTCTGTTCCATGTTTCTATATCTCTAGATCTACTGTGATCATCAGTTTATTTTATTCATTAGATTACACATATGAGTAAGATCAGGTGATACTTGCCTTTGTCTGACTGGCTTATTTCTCTTAGCATAATACTCTCCAGGTCCCACCATGCTGTCTCATAGGGTAAGGGATCCTTCTTATTTACAGCTGCATAGTATTCTATGGTGTAAATGTCTGAGAAGATGCTTGATATGGTTTCAATTGTCTTGAACTTGTAGAGACTTGTTTTGTGTTCTACCATGTGGTATATCTTTGAGAATGTTCCATGTGTACTTGACGAGAATGCATATTCTACAGCTTTGGGGTGAAATGTTCTGTAAATGTCAATTAAATCCATCTGATCTAGTGTGTCACTTAGAGTCACTGTTTCCTTGTTGATTTCTTGTCTGGAAGATCTACCCAATAAAGTCAGTGGGGCTTTCAAGTCCTCTACTATGACTGTGTTGCTGTTGATCTCTCCTTTAAAGTTCTCCAGAAGTTTGTGGGGGGTTTTTTCAGCCCATGTGAGTCTTTTGTTCTGAGGCGAGTCTCTTGTAGACAGTATATATCTGGGTCTTGTTTTCTTATCCATTCAGCTACCCTATGTCTTTTTATTGGAGCATTTAATTCATTTATATTTAAGGTTATTATTAGTAGGTAGTTATCTATTGCCATTTTATTTCTTTATGCCTATGTTTCTCATTCTCTCCATTTCAACTTCTTAATACAGCAGTCCCTTTAACATTTCTTGCAATGCTGGTTTGGCGGTGGTAAACTCCCTTAGCCTTTTTTTGTCTGGAATGCTCTTTATTTCACCATTTACCTTGAAAGATAGCCTTGCTGGAAAGAGTGGTCTTGGGTTCAGATTCTTGTTTTGCATTACCTTGAATACTTTATGCCATTCCCTTCTGGCCTATAGTTTCTGATAAGAAGCCAGCTGACAGCAGCATGGGAGCACTTTTGTAGGTAACAGATTGCTTTTCTCCCTGCCTCCTGAACTTGAACGTGTGTGAATTTTTCCTTCACCAGATTAGGGCAGTTTTTTGCTATTATTTCTTCAAACAGGTTCGGTAACCCTTGCTTACTCTCTACATTTTCTGGAACTCTTATGATGCAAATATTGTTACATTTCACGTTGTTTCGCAGCTCCCTTAGGCAGTCCTCTTGTTTTTTAATTGTCTTGTCTTTTTGTTCTATGATTTGATTGAGTGATTTTTTCTACCCTGTCTTTTAATTCTCTGATCCAATCCTCAGCTTCCCCTACTTGCTGTCTATTCCTTCCTTCCAATGTTTTTTTTTCTCTATTTCATTCTTAATATCCTTCATAGTTTCCATTTCTTTTCTCATGCTGTTGAGCATCCTTATGATCAGTATTATGAACTCTATATCAGATAGATTGCTTATCTCCATTTCATTTAGCTCTTCTTCTGGAGAATTCTTTTGTTCTTTCATTTAGAGATTGTTTTTTGTCTCATCATTTTGATTGCCTTTTTGAATTTGTTTCTATGTATTATGTAGATCTGCTAGGACTTCCAGTCTTTTGGATGGCCTCTGGTGTAGGCCAGTGTCAGAGATACTGTTTGTGATTGGCTTTGAGTACCCTATTTGAAGCTTTTTGTGCTCCACAGCTTGTGATTCCCTCTGCTGAGGCTGGGTGTGTTTAGACAGGACCAAGATAATGCACACCTAGAACTGCTTTTCCAAGCCTTGGGTCCTGAAGCAAATCAGGCAAAGAATCAAAGCACCTGGAGGCTGATTGTTATTTAGCCTCTTAATGAGCCTCAGGCTGTAGAAACTCCAAAGGGTGGGGTGAGAGATTTTCCAGCATGGTAGGGCAATTGCTTCCCCCCCACACCCCATGCAAAAGCTGCTAGGAAAGTAAATGTCTCCCTGAGAAAGATATTCTCTGCTGTATGAGGGAATGACTCAGCACAGGAATCCAGACTTAGCTCTATCCCCTAAGCCAGCACTTCTGGATTCTCCTCACACAGCTCTAGTCCACTTTGCCTTCCCTCTGCTGGATCCCAAAACTTTGTGTGTTGGTCCTTTAAGAGGCTGCCTGCATTTCCAGCTGTCTCTCTCTGACAGACAGAAATCCTGCTACTTTTCACAGCCAGATGTTATGTGGACACCTTTTTACTTGTAGTGCGCTGGGCTGGGAAGCCCAGCTTAGGATTTAGACCCCAAAGTTCTCTTAGATATCCCTCTGGAACTTCAGCTGCTGCCTGTGGGACCCCAGCTTAGTCAAGAGGTGGCTATTTTATCTAATGTGCAGAAACCAACACAGAGTCAAGAAAAAATGAATAAACAAGGGAGTATGTTTCAAATAAAAGAACAAGATCTCCAGAGACAGATCTTAATGAAATGGAGGTAAATTATTTACCCAAATGAGTTTAAAGTAAGTCTTAAACATGCTCACTGAGATCAGAAGGGCAATGCATGAGCAAAGTGAGAATTTCAACAAAGAGAGAAAAAAGTGTTAAAAACTACTAAATAGAAATCATAGATTTGAAGTATACAATAACTGACCAGAAAATTTTAATAGAGGGGTTCAATGGCAGGCTAGATTAAGTAGAAGATAGGATCAATGCTCTTGAAAACAGGGCAGTGGAATTCATTCAATCGAGGAGCAAAAAGAAAAAAAGAATGAAAAGAGTGATGACAGGTTAAGGGACATATAGGAAACCACAAGTGGACCAATATTTACATTATAGGGATCTCAGGATGATAAAGGAGAAAGGGGCAGAAATCTTATTCAAAGAAATAGTAGCTGAAAATTTCCCTAACCTGGGGACAAAAACATATCCAGATCCAGGAAGCCCCAAATGCCAAACAAGATGAATCAAAAGAGACTCATGCAGACATTATAATTAATTTATCAGAATTTGAAGATAAAGAAAGAATCTTAAAAGCAGCAAGGGAAAGCAATCTGTTCCTTACAAGGGAATCCACATAAGACTATCAATGGATTTTTCATTAGAAACCTTGCAGGCTAGAGAGAATGGGATGAAATATTCAAAGGGCAACCAAGAGAACTCTATGGTTCATTTATTTACTGAAACACAAGCAATTACTCAGCTTTCATTGTCATACTGAGTGCTCAATTGTCATATTTTTCTTGGTCTTTACAGAGAAGATATTTCAATAAAGTAAAATATATTAATTCTTAAATACTGTTAGTTTTACAATTCTCAGAATTGAAGGAGAAACAGTTTTCCAGACAAACAGAAGTTGAAGGAGTTCATCACCACTAGACCAGCCTCACAGGAAATGTTAAAGGGAGTTCTTCAAGTTGAAATATAACAATACTAATTAGTAAGAGGAAATTATATGAAACTGTAAAATTGAATGGTAAAGGTAAAAATATAGTCAAATTCAGAATACTCCAATATTGTGATGATGGTGGGTGAATCACATATAACGCTAGTGTAAAGGTTAAAGACAAAAGTATTAAAAGTAACTATAACTAAAATAATTTGTCAATGGATACACAATATAAAAATGTGTAAATTATATCAAAAACATAAAATGTTGTGGAGGATATAAATATGTAGAGCTTTTAAATGTATCAAGAGTATGAATTGTGCTTCATAATTTGCTATTAAAATTATTTTTCTAGTAAAGAGTTTATTTTTATAACTTTTCTATTTTACTGCATTAATATTCAGTGACTCACTTAAACTTCTGTAGTCATCTAGGCTACCTATAACATTTAGAAGCATTGTCTCATTTTTAAAATCCAGTGATTTTAAAACTTACAGAAATACTATCTTAGAGTTTTTCTAAACTGCTGCTGACTCCTCTGGAAAAGTTTTCCCTTCCTACAATATTAAGTTTCCCATTCTTAAGCATTCTTTCAATGATCCTAACCGATAAACATTGCAAATATTTCAGTAAGTTGCTATTGTATAAAAGGACTTTGTAAAGAGCATATAATAGTCAAAAGTGGTTCATTCATTTACCAAAACACAAGCAATTACTCAGCTTTCATTGTCATATTGTAGGAACTCAATATTGCCATTGGTCATTACACAGAAGATATTTCAATAAAATAAAATATATTAATTCTTGAGTACTACTACTTTTACAATTCTCAGAATTAAAAAAGTCTTACATATTTAATTTTTTTCATTTATTCATCAACTGAATAATTATAAAAGACTTACTGCTTATGAGTTCCTGTGCCAGGTACTTAGGTAAAATGATTTCTTCTAGTCACAGTCCTTGTTTCAAAGAATTAGTGTTCAGTTGGAGCAGCATACATTAATTTTAAAAACTCATTCAAATAAAAGTAAAATCTAAATATACATGGTGTATGAGAAAGTGTATGGATGGAGAGACTTATTTAACATGCTTTATGACTTTGATGCTAATGATATAAAAACTTGGTCATCAGAATCCTATGCCCAAGAGTGAATATCCTCAGGTGCACCTAGTACGTGACAGAGCTTGGGAAATAATCAACTTTCATCAACATTTCCTGGTGATTCTGTCTGGTAGGTCATGAAATAAGCTTCAGATAATTTTCTGTTTATAGTTCTGCCTCAAGTATATCTACAATCTACTTGTACATTCTTCAGCTTTAGCACCTCATTACATTTTCAAAGAGGGAAAGCATATAACAATTCTTAAAACAATAGGGGGAAATTATTATTACAGCTAACATTCAGAGTTACTTAATATTGGAACACACTTTGTTGTTATTCAAATTGTTGGAAATGTGGTTCTCAAAGTGTATTTCTAACTATGTTTAGTTCCCTTCTGCCTTTGCTAATTTGACCTATAAAAGGCTTCATCATGCTGGTCAGAAGATGGCTTTTAGCAAAATGATCACATTTGCCCCAAACAACTGCATCTGTACTACCCACTAGTGAATATCTTCCTTGATCATTAACAGAAGTGTAGAAACAGCTTTGTTTATGACAAATACTTGTATTATTTTAAAGGATAACATTTTTAATTTGGACAAATAAATACTATCTTTATGTGACAGAGTGTATGGAATTTTCTGTCTTTTAAAAAATGAATGAATTAATTAATTTGAACTTATTTTTAATTATAGTTGATGTACTGTATTATGTTACTTCAGGTATATGGCAAAGTGATTCAACATTTACATACCTTACAAAGTGATCACCACAACAGGTCTAGTAACCATACCTCGTCATACATAATTATTACAGTATTACTGACTCTATTCCCTATGCTGTGAATTACATGCCCACGACTTATATTAAAACTGGAAGTTTGTACTTTTATCTTTTATTACCTTTCCAAGCAAACTCTTCCTTTCCTATTTTCTCTAATAGTTAGAGCCTTCAATAAGATGTTGACATGAAAATTCATTTCTGTCTTCAGGACCTTAAATTTTTACTTAGATTTGAATAGCATTTCATGACAGTATAGGTTTTCTTTGACTATTTTATATATTCTGAAAAGAAATAGTAGGGATAAATTGTTGTCAGTATACATTAAAAACCTTAATAGGCTCTATTTCATATTTTAAAGTCAGGAAAACTAGATTTTCTTTTTAAAAAAATACATTTTTCTTGATTTTAGAGAGAGAAGAAGAGAGAGGGATGAGAGACAGAAACATCGATGTGAGAGAGGAACATTGATCTGCTGCCTCTTGCCCTCGTCCTACAACCCGGGTATGTGCCCTGACCGAGAATCGAACCTGCAGCCTTTTGGTGCTTGGGACAACCTTCAAACAGTTGAGCCACACTGGCCAGGGCTGAAAAACGAAATTTTCTTACATATATTTTAACTATTCACTACCCTATATACTTTAAAGGTGTGTTCATCTTATGGTATATAAAGTTCGTAAGTTTTGAAAATTTAATATCAGTGTATTATGCCACTTGCCTCTACTTGAGAATCAGAAAAAATTATCCTCATTTAGTTTTTCTAATAGCAAGGACTTACTGAAAATAGCATCAAATGTATTTGCTTCGTTTGAGGTGTTGTTTAGTAAGACACATTTATTATAGTACCTAATAGGTCTTAATACACATTTATTGAACAAGCAAAATGAATGAATAAATTGAGTAGCATTTGTCTATATATTTACTCCACATATTAACTGTTACAGTATAACATTTGTCATCTTAAGCCATTTGCACCAAGCAGTTTAAAAATAAGTCTACCAAAAACAAAACAAAACAAAACACCTCAGGTTACAAAAATATTAATATAAATCTGATGATTGCCCGGCTGGTGTTGCTCAGTAGTTGAACATCGACCCATGCACCAAGAAGTCGCTGGATCGATCCCAGGTCAGGGCACATGCTCCGGCTGTTGGCTTGATCCCCAGTAGGGGGGGTGCAGGAGGCAACTGATCCATGTTTCTCTCTCATTGATGTTTCTCTCTCTCCCTTCCTCTCTCTCTAAAATTCAATTTAAAAAAATATTTTAAATCTGATTATCACTGTTTAAAAGTAAAAAATAGGCTAACCAATACATACCATTATCAAAATATCTGACTGTTGAATTTCTGGAGACACTGGGATCAAAATTTGCCATTAAAGGTGCTATGTACTGTGTGGCTGTCAGCATTCGATGTACAACTTCTCCAGTGTATATGAAACCTATAATTAGAAAAGTAGAAAATATGTTAAGAAAAAGCCCAGATAAAATTTTAATTACCCCCAACTCAGTTACAGTCTATTTTGAAAATAAAATACAATAGCAGCTTAAAAAAAAGAACAAAATTAATGTCTTAATGTCTGCTCAACAATAGTTGGGTCTGGATTAAGTAACAAATTTGCGTGGGATATGGTAGCGCCCTGCAGACTGCCAAATCAGAAATCTATGTTCTGAACAACTGTCATTGTGGATAAAGTGACTGTTATCTGGAGAGGTTATTAGGCTGAAAGGACTAGTATAACTATCAGTAATTCCAGCATTCAATTTGCCATTATGAATCCCTTGTTATTTTAGCACTAGCCAAACTTGCAAGTCCTTTCTACAAATGAATGTATTTTCATGATGTTTAATTTCATTTTCTTAAACTGCAATCTCACCTTAGGACATTTCAGAAGCTACACAAGCATGCATTCATAAACATTTTTATATCTTTCTCCATTGCTGAAATGGAGAAAATGCTTCAGACCTTTTTTCCCAAAGTTGAAAGGAGGCTAAACACCCATGGAAAAACTTGCACATTTCTCAGATTACTCAAGTGTTTATAATGTTAGCACCCCTTCAAAAAGATAAGGATTATATGCAATCTTTAGGTAAGATGATAAAAGCGTTGATAAGGCATAGATGCCTCTCTGCTGATCAGTGCCAGCCTATCCTAGCAGCTGGATACTGAGAGGGAATTTACTATGGAGAACTTGCTCTTGAATTAAATTTCAACAGCTCCTATGTTACACCCTTACCCACTTTTAATTATTCACACTGGATTTATTTACTTTGTGGATTATCCATGGCAAATTGTTAATCCTGTACTAGTTTCTTGTCTCCAAGTCTTTAGGTCTAAAAGGAGAGTCAGCTCAGGGAGTGATAACTCACTTTAATATTAATCTAAGAAATGCACAATTAAGAACATATATGCAAATAGGCACATACATGTGGGAGCACGCACACACACACATGCACACACACAATTACAAAATAAAATCCAAAGCAAATGATTTGTGAAAATGCAGGTGCAATGTTTAGGCAGTCAGAAGTTAACTAGATATCTGGCGCTCTTATCGATCATGTTTCTATTTTCACAATAATTGGTAAAACAAGCAAGATTTCAAAAACACAAAACTGGGTAGGATTTAAACTTCTAGAAGTGTTCAAACTTTTGTCACCTCACTTATGATGTAAATAAAGCTTTCACTGGCATATTATGGTCTTTATTGTTTCAAATTCTCAACTGGAATTTCTGGGTGAGTTATTGGAGAATTAAATCTGTAATTACTTACTTTGAAATTAATTTGTATTCCCAGCAGTGTCTTCTTTCCTTTACCTCTTTTTTATTTTTCATCAAAGGCATATTTGAATTCTAACTATTTACCATAAAAATATATTTTAACTAGTAAAATCTTTAGCATGTGTTTTAATCGTTGATTACGTCGTTTCTCATTTGATGAGCAATAGCTTTCAAAATAAATTTCCTATGCCTTAAGCAGAATTTTGTACATCTGCAATTTTACATAGCTCAAATGTACTAAAAGATATTATATAAAGTGATGCAGTCATTGCTTTATTTTATTTTCCTGTAGATTTTCAGAGACACTCTTGAAGCTCAAAGCCCAATATCACATCCTTAAAATTATAGAGATGAAGAGTAACTATTTTTTCCGGGTCTATGATTTGTTTTTTCTCTGATCCTCACCAACATGGCTTTATAATTTCACCATTAAAATGGATAGAAAAATTCTGTAAGTCTGATAGTTTAAGGACAAATTAAATTATACTCTGCAAATCTTCTTTCAGGGACAGTAGCTCTGGATAGCTATTTCTCTACTCTATGTTCTCTGGGTACTAACAGAAGAAACTTTGCTTTTTTTAAAGAATAAAGAAGGCAGTAACTCAAGGCAGTAAGGTAATTTTAAATCGATAGAAAATTCATTCTCCAAAACAACTCTAAGAAAAGCATCAGCAATTTGTAGAAAAGGGATTGCAAAATGCACAACCATAGATGATTTCAGATACTTAAATCTTAATGTTAATATTTAAAATCATATATATATATATTTGTCAATGAATGTTCCTACACAGATTTGGCTAAAAGTTATCCTCTACCCTCTATAACCTAGTTTTCCCAGCAACTAATGGGAATCATTAGTTGCTGCTTCCTTTCATCAGGAAAAGATTTTCCAGAATGACAATTTCCCAAATATCGAAGGTGAAGTCTCAAGTTGTTCCCAAAGAACAAAGTAAAAATATAAAAGGATTTATTACCACGGAAAAGCAATAATCACAATCCTTGATTCTTCTATTACTGTAAAATTAAAATAAATTACGATCACTGCTACTATGACTCCTACAGGTGGGGCACCGGCTGTTAACAAGAAACAACGGCTCTAACTACTAGCACATCTGCCACCACTGTTAGCCTGCTACCACCATCACTCCCACCGCCACCAAGAATAATGTGAGAAACTACCCAAGAAGGCAAGTACCCCACCGCTCCACAACATGAATTTAATTCTGCTAATTTGGAGAATACTTGTTTGTGCTCCTAGGCCATATTGAAACCTACTTCCCTCAATATGTTAGGTTAGCTCTTAGTGACCAAGAAGTAAAATGCTTGACTGCATTGATGGGCTCTACAGTGCTTAGCTCTTTTTATCCCCAGATTTTCAAAATGTCACTTCAGCAGTGGCTAATCACTGAGTGGAGAGAAACCTTACAGGTGCTGAGAGTGGGCAGTGTAACTGGGTGTTGATAGGAACCAGTGATGCAAATTTGGAGACCCTAAAGCAATAAATCTTTTCAGATGCTTCAAAGGCCCCCACAGTGACTCATTTAGACATTTACCTCTTTTCTTTCAAATTTTATTTTTCAGTTACAGTTTACATTCAATATTATTTGTATTAGTTTCGGTTGTGCAGCATAGTGGTTAGATAACCTGATATTTCAGGTACCCACCTGGCGCCATACATAGCGGGGAGTTTCCTAAAAAAATTAAAAATGGAACTACTTCCTTGTGACTCAGTGAATCCACTTCTGGGTATATATCCGAAGAAACCCAAAACATGAATTTGAAAGAATATATGCACCCCTATGTTCATTGCAGCATTATTTACATTTACCTCTTTTCTTTAGCTGTCTTGGGCATGTCCAGTCGTACAAAAAAAAGAAGTTCATTCCTTTTGGTTTTTCACATTTGGAGGTAATATAGGCAAAACATTTTTATTGTTCTTTTCAGACTTGGTAGTTATCATTTGAAGGGCTAATCACACAATGTCTTCTTTGCTCACTCTATGCTTCTAGTTTAAATAGCACTCATTTATGTATCTAGTCATAAGTTTTGTAGAAAAGTGGTTATTATGCAGATAATGTGGTACCCAGAGAGACATCTCCATTTGAAAGATTCAAATAAGAAAAGCAAATGCATTTTGCTTTTTTGGATTTCAAATGACAGCTGACACACTGAACTTCTCTTTGGCCTTCACTAGTAAACGTAGGGTTAAGCCTTGAGTCCAGCTGTAATCAACAGCTTTGCTCTTGCTCCCGGAAGGCTCTCCTTGGGCTGCTTTCTGTAGGTCTTTAGTCACTTGAATAATCTAATTTTAAATCTGTAAACCTTTTCAAGTGATTTGAGGATTGTATCATTGTAAGCCCTGACATGAATAAACCCTCCTCACTCATTATATATTAACTACACTCATGTATTTATTAACCACAAATACTATTATGATAATAGTGAAATTAACAAATATCTATATTGGCCTTTACCAATTACATTATTTTCATGTATTCTCTTCACTGTATCTTTACAATAACTTTGAAAACATTATTATTATTATTATTATTATTATTATTTCCCTTTATTAAGTGAGGCATGTAATAAAGCCGGGTAATTTGCTCAAAGTCAAATAGCTAGATTTGGTTTCTAATTCCAAATTTTATCACTGCTTTACAATATATTTTAGAATTCATTATGTTTCCAGAACTATATGCTCTCCCTCGCTGATTTCATACTTAAACAAGGAGTATGAGGAAGAAAAGACCTTCTCTCTGTGTGAAAATTCCAACACCTATACCTCAGAGCAAAGGTGGAGTCACCCTAAATCCTGCTCCTTTTATTGTATTACTTCATCATTTTCTTTTAATTGGCAAGTTGCATAAACAGGTTGAAATTAGATTCCCCTATTGCAATCTACCAAGTGACTGTGAAATTGATGAATGACATATAATTAGAGAATTTATGTAATGGTGCAAACAAGTTATTTCCTAGCCATGTGACTAGGTTCTCGACCTCTCTGTGCCTCAGTTCCCTAATCTGTTAAATGCAGGAGTATTGGTATCAATGTCATTGAGTTGTTGTGATGGTTGAATGAGTTGATATGTGAAAAGCACTTGAAAAGAGTGCTTAAAATAAAAATTTGCTGAAAGCAACCAATCCATCAAATTCTCTCTAATTTTTCCTCCTGGAAGTTTTCTCTGTCTAATGTATACTAGTTAATTAGACTTGCACTAAGATGTCCATATGACTTCAAAATCATGCCTGAGACCCAACTGGTATGATATGTGTTTCTTTGCGTAATTTCAGTTTGGTTAAGGCACACCACTGACCTAACTGCAAGGTAATAAAAAGCCTTCATGTCCAAGTTCTTCGTTTGCTATTCCTTTCCTTACATTCTGATGGAATAAGCACCTTGTAAAAATATTAACCTCCTATTTGTTGCAAAGGGCTGTTTCATTTAATTGGAAGTGTCAGAGTAATAAAGGAAGCATGAAGCTGCTATAATTGCCTGTGAAACTTTAATGTGTAAAGAGCTACATAAAATATTCTGCTTCAACATAGTTCAGTTGGTATTTTTGATCCTAGAGGAAAGGTTGGAGCTGATGGGTATGCCTGTAGGGCACCGAACATTTATAGTTAAGTGCTGTTCTTAGTGAGCAAATGACAGTGGTGTAT